GTGTGTGTGTGTGTGTGTATACACGTTTTTAAAATAACGAAATTAAAATATCGTTCCTATAGCTTTTTTTGAGAAATATAAATGAGCCATTTCATTTGGCACAAGTTTGTGTGTACGAGCCCATTTTAATATTTTTATTTAATTTTTGTTGTCTCGTTGACCGTGATAAAATTTACAGTAGATAGAAAATAAATAATGGATTTGGGTCATTATCAAATTATTTCAATTTAAAGGGATTATATTAAGCGAAGTTTTTAACGTGGAAAAAAAAAAAAAGTGTAATATTTATTCGCAGCTATTTCGTAGAACAAAAAACATACCGCCACCCTGTTGTCTAGAAACGCGAAAGTCATAACAAATTTTTTTTTTATTGTTGTTCAAAAGGATAATCGATACTATAACTGCAACAATAAGTTCGACGAGAATAAGAAAACACCGCTTGCACGCAAATTCTTTTTTTTTTTTTTTTTTTTTGTCCATCCAGAACACTTTGCACTTTGCGAATAAAAATTCATATAATATTATCGTTCTCTCCTAAGGGACACATTCTTTTTTTCTATTTAACAAAACTATTCACCCTTTTCTTTTTTTATCATACGACAAAACAAATAAAAAAATATATGTATATTTTAATTACGATAGGTTTTACTTAAATTACGTAATCTCGTAAAATGTATAGAATATTTAAATAAAAATATTATTATATATACGAGGGGAGGTGGGAGGAGGGGGAGGGGGTAGGGGAAACGGTTTGTTTCTCGACGACACGTTGTACTTGAACATTGGTAAAATTTTCATTTATATGCAAGACCTCGGTGTAGATTTTCAGTTATCCATCGTAAAGCTTTCAAGCTTGCAAGTAAGCTAGCTAAAGCAAAAGCTCCTTCTTCCGAGATGGGTCGATTCTTTTTCCTGGATAGTTTGGTTTAACGTTTTAAAACGTTCAAGATTCTTCCTTTCATGTTTCGTACGAGAGACAGACAACTATGATGGATTTTCCTAAAGCAAATCTTCCATGTCAGATTTGGAATACTATCGATATTGGATTTATATATAATTTAGAAAAATTATTTTAATTTAATTTATTAATACTCTTTTCGTCTTAAATATTATTTTCAATTAATTCATTGCGAACGTATGCTTAATTGTTAACAACAATAACCAAAAAAAAATCAAGAAGGATTATCAGGTTTTTCCATTTCAAATAAAATAATTTGTTTAATGTATTTCCTTAAATTTTATTAAATAACCATTGTGTGTTGATTAATTAAATACGAGAAAATGAAAATATGAATCGAACGAACAAAGAATGAAATTTCTTTGTTAGAACGAGTTGGTTAGAAATTATGCACCAAATTATTCCAACAGCGTTAGCTTAAACTTCTAATTTTTTTTTCGAATCGCCTGTTTAAACTTCAACAAATAAGAAAATAAAGAAGAAGAATAAAAAGAAGAAGATAGGAATATTGAACGAGCTGAATCAGTCTCAGGAGAATGAAAGTTTACCATGTCTAGTAGTTAATGCGTCAGGGTAGGACGCTTAAAATCTTGAACTTTGCGAGAATCGATGAATTTCATTTAAAACTAACATTCGTTATGCGTTTTGAGAAATAAGTAAGATAAATTAAATGTTTGAAAAAAATGAATGAAATAAGAATATCTCTCTATCCACTTAAAAAAAAAAAAAAAAAAAAAAGGAAAAGAAATGAATTTCATCAAATATTTTTCATTATGTCATACAAATAAAAACAAATTCATTGATACCAATAATAAATTTTGAAATATTTCTATTATTAAAAAAATGATTTTATAAATATTCGATATACGTATCATTAACAATAATTCTCAAAACAATCAATCATTATATCAAATACAATACAGAGAATAAATTTCGTTTGTGATGTGTATCAAAATGCATCATCGAATCGAATAATTATTAGAATAAAAATATACACTAACGTAAAGAAATTTTGATTTGTGTTAGGACAAGGGACTCTACGAGAATATAATCGACCCTTTCTCCCCCTCCCCTTATCCTCTATCCGTTTTCGAGTGAATATCGAGAAATATTTCCAAGACGTTTAATCGCATTACGCTTGGTTGCGTTTAACTCGATTAACGAGGTGCAAGTTTCCACTTACAAGACGTAAAGTCTCACTCGAATTCTCTGAGCAACGAAGCCAAGCGAAATGAGAAACTTAGGGGAATCGTAAGCGACAGGTGGAAATGCGTTTAGCGAGAGACACGCGATGGCCCACTAATACATATACATAGATATATATATATATACGTAAGAAGGTATATATACATTAGGAAGATATTTGGATGTTGGGGAGGAGGGCAAGGGCAAGTTAATCTTCATACCTTTAAAATCTTTCGAAAGTTTATAACATTGGATTAGAATTTTTCCAAACATTAAATCTACCATGACAAAACAAATATGACCACGTCCTTTAAATTTTGGTTAAAAATCTTGCAATTTGTAAACTGCATACAAAATGTACACTTATTTATTTATTATCTAGATATAAAAGAAAAATATATCGTTCGTTATCCAATTGGATTATACAATTTCATTCTATATAAAAATATATATATATATATATATATATATATATATATCGAGAAGGAAAGTGTACTACTATCATTGATTCAATGCAATTGGTTCTTACTTTATACCCTTTTTCCGANATAAAAGAAAAATATATCGTTCGTTATCCAATTGGATTATACAATTTCATTCTATATAAAAATATATATATATATATATATATATATATATATATATTTTTTTGTAAAGCGATCATTTGATTGGTCACGTTAGAAATAAGTATACATGAAGAGTGTTGGTAGATTTAATACTAAGTATATGTCAGACACGTTATAGTGTTGCTTGATTAACAGTAAGATAACTTAAGGTATTTATGACTCGGACGTTTCCAACGTGCTTTGCCATTTAAGAATTTCCTCTCAACACCAACCACCAACCACCACCACCATCACCTCTTAGCATCAACCCCAGTATCAACAACCCTTTCTTTTTCCCTACCTTTAAACCCAGGCTTATATTTCGAATATACCTACAGTTTCCGGATGGAATCGTTTCAGGTAAAGCCTTACGAATCGCAAACGGAATCGTAAGTAGCATCGGAGAAACGAGAACACCGTTATGTGTGTACTCTCTCTCTCTCTCTGTTTCTCACACGCATACATAGGTTCATTTGATTTTCCACCTAACCGCTCCAATTAACTCAACAAACTAACCTAGTGATTAAATAGTCAGAAATCACTTCGTTGAATTCAGATTAATCCGTTGGATTCGTATAATTACGATATAATGAGATTTTGCGTTGTAATCCATTCGAATTCGTACAACCGGCATGATTTAAAATAATCATATTTTTCGAAAAACGATCCAATGTCGATAAGTTAATTGATTTCATATTTAATATATATATATTTGTACGAGTTTTAAAATCAATCTTCTCAAATTCATAATTTCGGTTTAATGAAAATCATAATTATTATACGAAATATAATAAACAATGAGAAATTGCAGAACGACGATGGCCAATTGTTATCGATAAAAAGCGTCAAAGCGTTTAAAATATCATACACCGTGATCGTAATATAAAAGAAAATATGAAAGAAATATTTTTTACGAAGAGAATGATAATCAAATTATCGTGAAAAAATTTTATAATATATATACATATAGAATATATTATAACGTAGATTCGAATAAATAAGCACGGAAAATATTCGACATGTAATTACGGTGATACGAATCAGAAAACAAAATTGTTTAGAAAGAAAGAAAGAAAGAAAAATCAATATACAAATTCTTGTAGTATTATCAGTACGAACAAGCGACAGGAAAGATTTTTCATGCAACGACGACGAACAGCCAAAGACGATGGAAATAGAGATAAAGAAGAAAAAAAAAAAGAAACAGAGAGAGAGAGAGAGAGAGAGAGAGAGAGAAAAACCATAAACGGATATCAAAACGCATAGGTATAATAAAACGAAAAGACACGTACCTTGTAGCCAAGATAAGCAAGTAACAAGGCTTCCGTGAGCGAAACCATAGCTAGGATCACCTGTACGATCCAAAGTTCCAATGGCCTTCTTACCCATAAGATTGCATCCCAATTGATGGTTGGATGTTCCTGAAATTCTTCTTCGGTTAAATTTTGGGAAGCCAGAAATTCCGTTTTGTTTCCTGGCATACATCCGTAACTGAAAGGACAAAAAGAACTGAAATGTTTAGGTAAAATGGGTAGTGTCTAGTATGGGGGTTGGGAAGGGGAGGTTTGTGGAAAAAAAGAAATCAACAAAAGTAAAAAAAAAGAAAAAGGAAAAAGAAAGGATTGATAAAAAGAAGAAAAAGCAAGCAACCAATGGAAAATACTTTGGGGAATATGCTTTTGAGATAGGGGCTAGGAGGGAATGGGGGGAAAGTAAAGGGAGCTTTTACACGGTCGAGCAATAAGATTCTAAAACGTTTTCCTACTGCTATTGCAGTTACTGTTTCCTGCAATCTTATCTCGGACTCTTATTTTGCACAGCGATGTTGCATTGCAACAAAGTATCGTAATCGTGCGCATGAATATTGCGTTAAGATCGTGAACAGGAATAGCCTACCCCCTGCCCCCGCCCCCAACCCCCATGATTCTAGGTTAAAAAGGGAAACATTTTCCTTTAGTTACGCTATTTCGTTTTTAAACGAGAAATGAAGATTACCGGTTTGAGGTGGATTCTCCTGAAACCGACCGAATTGTCCTAAAGGGCCGATTAAGGTATTTTAATGAAATCCCCGTTTGAAAAGAATAGAAATCTTTCTATTTTCTTTTCTTTTTTTTTTTTTTTGGTTGGTTAATAATCCCTTCCACGATTTTATTTTTTTATTATCTATTTCAACTACGAGATTTTACCGAAAGGATTTTAACGAGTAGGGGAGGGTGGGAAGGTTGACTCGGGTTTCTCTTTTCTTATAATTATTTCCTCTACAAACAAATTTGTATGATATTAATTTGATTGAATTATTTTTCATCGATATAAAAAAAAACAAAGATAAGAACTCACCATGCTGCGAAGGTTGGATCGTTGTCGATTATAACTCGGAATATGTAAAGGAAACATGTCAGAAGTTTGAAGAAAAGATTGGCCAGTCGTATTCTTAAACCTGAAATTGAAATAAATCAAAGTAAACAATGTCAATCTAAGGGAGAACGATTTTTCTATAGGCAAAAAAAAACAAGAAAAGATAAGATTTTGTTCGTATATGGAATGGGGGTGGTTGGTGGTGGTGATGGGGTAGGTTAAGCGAAATGGAAGTTCGAAAGAAAACTAAGATTGGCAGGAATATCGATTGAAATCAATATTGCGTTTCTGTAACGCGTAGGTAAAGGTATGGATAGGTTGTATTGGCCCTTGCAAGGTGCGAGAAAACAACTTCCTTGTGATATCTGCTATTGGCTGCTGCCACTTGCAAGCACCTTTTGAAATAGTAAATCGTCTAGCACAGACTATTGCCAACCATCATGACACTTCAATCTTTTGACAAACAAACGAACGAACGAACGAACGAATGAACGAAAAACAAGAACAAAAATCTCGAATAAATATTTAACGATAGAAACAAATGTAATAATAATAATAATAATAATAAAAAGTATCGCGCGTATTATATAAAAGTAAAATAATAACATCGTTTTCGAAAGAGAGAGATCATCTGTCATTAGAAAATATATTTTATCGAATTTCATATTTACGAATGACGAGCTCGTTAAATGTGCGTTACCCGCGTTTCGAAATAATAATTATTTATTTTCCCTTCCACCTTTATATTCCTCACTCTCCCACCCCCCATAAAAGAGAAATGTATCGTCGAGCAAAATGTGCTTTTTTTCTCTGTTTTTTTTTTTTTGTTTTTTATTTCCCCGCGACTCAATACGTCACGATTGAACGAAACTAATTAGTATCTCTTTTATTTCTTTTTTCTTTTTTTTTATGCACCTAACCTGTTGTACATATACCTGTAGCTATAATACAAATGTATAGTTATTAGTTGTCAAAATATTTTGTTCGTTGTGAAATATATCGCGTATGAAAAATCTACGATAATAGAATCTGTCCGTTGGCAAACGCGACGTGCAATATTAGAATTATAGTCCAACGTGTCATCGCAAAAAGAAAAAAAAAAAAAAAAAAAAGTGTCATAGCTGATGGTGATCTGTGTTAGATTACAAAGATTCGTTATAAAATAAACGGGGAAAATTGAACATTATAGTACGAACCATTACGAGATTAATCATATTTATTTGTTGTCAGGAAAAAGAAAAAGATAAAGAGAGAGAGAGAGAGAGAGAGAGAAGAAGGGGGTGGGAAAATTATTCGAAATAACATTCTATGAATATTTGATTAATCGTTTAAGTGGCACGCAAAGTTGTACGCGTTTAAATATTGAATAACTTAGTAAAATTAATCGACACGCATCGATAGAAACAAACAAACTAACAAACAAACGTTATAATACAGTCTTGTCAATTATATCGACACAAAAGATATTACATTTTTCAAATATTTAAAAATAAAACGGTGTTCAATGTTAATCCCATTGCTAGATTTGACGTATGATATTGAAAACATATTAAATTGGTGTATTAAAATAATACTAAATTTATGTTGCTTTCGATAAATTCTAGAAACACGTCGCGCGTAATCTAATCAATATTTCATCCCTATATAGAAACAAAATAATAATAGTATAATTTATTAGTTGATATAAAAATATAAATAAAAAACAGAAAATAATAAGATCTTGAACACGAAGGGTTTTACTTTATTGTCACGAAATAGGGGAAGAAACAATCGAAATAAAGTATATAATACATGCAAAGGTATTATTGAGTTGAAATGACAGATACTTTTAAAAACCTTCTGAGTATCAAACAAGTATTAAACTAAATTATTCTCCGATTATCTTTATTCTCGATCAAATTTCGCGTAATCAAGTATTTTACGAGCTTTTATATCGGCGTGGTCACGACCTATGCGATGACTATTCGTTGCGGTAAGGTTAATGCGAATACGATGACGATTTCTATGCTTTACGATTGTGAAACGTTGATAACAGATAGGTAATATCGTCGAAATACTAAAAGCATCTAGTAGGCAGAATTTAGGCCTGAAATTCGTGGCCATTGACGTTCCCGTTATTACGACCGAGTGAATTTCTCTGATAGTTCAATACATACGAAATGGTTTGGTACCCTTTACGTTATTCGAATAAATCCGATTAGAATTTATATTAATAGATCATTGGTAAATCCTTACAATGGATCCGATAGTCTAATTAACTTTCTAACCACTATCATCGTATTATATGCATTTATAATACTTACATTTATGCACTCATACGAAATTTCCTTTTTTTTTCTCGGGATTAATAATTAATGAATTGATTTATTAAAAATATTGATATAGTTCAACGATGGATTTCGAGGAAGACGGTACACGAAACTTATACTCTGAGCTTTTAAATAACATTATAGACACTTCTCTCTATTGATTAATTAAGAATTATTTTAATACTCTAATGCATTCTACTTATATATATATATATATATATATATATATATAAGATTGTATAAACGTAATATTATATTTATTATCTTATTTTTAATAGAAAATAATATTGATTTGAGAGAGATGTGTGATTTTAAATAAATGTAATAGTTAATAATTTTACGAATTAACGATTATTGAAAGTAGTATATTGATCTGATATGATTACAAATGAATACATTTAATAGTTAATTATTTAACGAATTAATAGATTTCACAAATCAACGCTAATATTTCTGTAAATGCGTGCGTAGGAGGGTTGAAAAAAGTGTAGCTAGCAATTAGAAATGGAATCGTAGAATGGATTAACTCACTCGATCGTTGGTTCTTGATGAAATATAACTGAAGCCGTTCCTTGAAGGTATTCTCGTTAACGTAATACTCGACGCGAACTCTGTAACAAATAGAAAAAAAAAAAAAAATAGATTCACAGTCGTTAGAGCAATACATATAAAGTGTTTTTTGTTTCCATCTTTTTATTATTGCGAATTCAATAAATTTTCACGCCAATAGTAAACGTTATATCTTCGATACAAACCCTTTTATACGGGTTAATTGTTCGTACAGAACCTTAACCAACCCTAAAGGGTTTGATAGAAAATTTCCTACGATACTATGATTGTAAGTAATAAAATTGTAGAAAATTTCAGTTCATTTTCGAAACGTGTAATTGCATTTCTCTGTGCATACCATCCATATCGATCGAATTGAATGGTTCAATGAATATTCTAGCATTTCTGTGAAATAATTAATCATGCTTTTAAGACAAAAATCTGACTTTATCAATGTTACGATTGTAAGTAATAGAATTTTAGAAAATTTCAGTTCATTTTCGAAGTGTATTACTGCATTTCCCTGTGCATACCATCCATATCGATCGAATTTGATGGTTCATTGAATATCCTAGCATTTCTGTGAAATAATTAATCATGCTTTTGGGACAAGCATTACTTAATCATCGGAAAAAGGGTATAAAGTAAGAACCAATTGCATTGAATCAATGATAGTAGTACACTTTCCTTCTCGATATATATATATATATATATATAACACGAGAGTTCTATTCTTAGACCAGGTAATGCAGTAACGTCACTGAGAATAGTGTTACGTGACGTCACTTGGGCAACGTGGTGAGTTGAGCATATACGTGAACCTTTCCGGTTGCGTTGAACTCATTCTTTGACCTACATATATAACGTCATTCTTACCAGACCTCAGACATGCATCTTTTTTTTTTTCTCCCTACCAAATCCAAAACTGTTTTTTTTCAACTTTTATTCTTGCTCCTTTATTATTAGTTCTTTCTTTTTTTCTTTATAAATAAACACGCAATTACTAATTATTCTAGAGTTTCCTTAGTAGGAACGGGAGAATGGAAGAAAAAACATTATGGAAAAATCGGGACAAGATGTAACAGATGATATATTAGTACGATGCAATTACTGTAAAAGATCTTGATAAAGTGCATGTGCGTTTCAGTACGTTGGGGCGTGCCTGATTTGCGGATTGGATGCTTGCTATTATAACGTTTCTAAAGGAACGCATATTAAATACGCGAGCATGAACAACGATAAGAGTATTCCGCCATCGTGTGTTGTTACTTCTATGCTTTTTTTTCCTAACTTCTCTTTTTTTTTTTTTTTTCTTTCTTTCTTTAATTTATTCGATATTTTTACACACGATCTGTTTAACGAGATTTCGTATAAAAGAATATTGAGAAAGAAAAAGATACAAAAGAAAACCAATTAACCAACCAACCAACCAAACGAGATCGATGGTGACTTCGCGTTTTATTTTCAACCCTTGTATTTTTTGGCACGTTTTCCAGGATTCGCGTTCAAGGAATGAATAGCTAGAAAAATAAAACTCCGTGTCGCTAATCTTAGAGAGTATTGGGTTGGGATATCGGATAAAGGAAAAGAAGTTGCGGTTCCTGCCCGTTGGTTAACTCAAACCAACCTTCGGGAAGATTAATGATCTCTTTATCCACACACACATTCAACGGAGCTGAAGAAAAGCACACCAGGCTCTTCTCGTTCATTCTTCTTACTTTTTGCCTCGTTTAATAACGTTAAATACTGACTAACTTTTCCTAGACCATTCCGAGTTTTTTTATTTATTTATTTTGCCTATTTTTATTTAATTTTATTTTTCAAGTTGACACAAATTTAATAGGATAAAATTAGTCAGGCAGCTTTGGTGTATTGTTCACGAGTATCATATATGTGAAAAATCAGTTTGTTCTTTGATTGGTATTTAGTTAACGAATACTATTTGCCCCGTGTTTCTCACAAATAAATTTATTTTTATTTTATTTAGCATCCCTTAGATTTTGTGTTTAAAATATATCGTTTTTAGTAGTAGGTACGTGTAAAATTATAGCAAACGAGGTGTCATGAAAACTCTTTCTCTATAACAAGATTAATGGCTATGCGGTTTCGTTTCGGTCGCCAGTGAAAGGTCAATCCCCATAATAACGAGTTTCTCGAACAATGTTACCCCGTTTCCTGTCGCTTGATTCTGACCGGTATACCTTTTCCGTGAACGATACTCTTTGTTTAACTCTTTCGTTTAACGTAACGATCCGTATAAGAATCGTCTATGAAAAATCTCATACATATATGCAGCAACACGAAATTTATATCAAATAATAAAATGTAATTTCTTTGTTTTTGTGTGTGATGTAATTTTTTCATTGTATTTAATTAATATTATTTTGAGATTAATCAATCCGATTAATACAATTGATCATAAATTATTTCATATCTTCTTTAAATTTTATTCAACGTTACGCGGTTTATCTTTTTCATTAAAAGATAGAAAATATTGTACGTGGTTTTATATACAAACGATTCCTCTTTATTCCAATTTGAGATATCACTCGGGGCGATTTATATAAATTGAAAGAAATGTTTTTCATCTATACTTTTCCTTTTTCACCTCTATCCGCAATTTGTCTTTCCGTTTTTTTTTTTTACTGCTTTTCTTTTCCACCGTTCTTATCTTTCATCTGAAAATTGTTTTTCGCTACCTCCCCGATACGGTTGGGGGTTGGGAGTTGGTGGTGGTTGCAAAGGAAAGTAGATTCGCTGAAATTTGTTAGAATGTCTTAAAATTGAACAAATTTCGATTGATTCTTCTGACACACGCGTCTCGAATTGACGTATTAAACAAAAATATTAAAAATAATTTCGTTTAATTGAATTATCTGATATAATAAAGAAGATTTTTCTGTATTTTCTAATACTATTGTTTTATCTTTTCGTTCATTTCATTTTCTCTTTAACATTGTTGCTTATTTTTTTTGTTTTGTTGGATTCGTACAAGAAATAACAACATACGAATGTCCTGTATTCGACGAAGAAAATACTCCAACCAACCCCTTTTTTCTATATAACAGTACTCCATTTTATTTGAACTTAAAACACTAGGAAGAATAAGCCAATTTATAAATTGAAAAAGGGGAAACGATTCCAACTGTGTTGTTGTATTCTCAGTTTCACAGTTGTTCTTTCATTTATTCGATGGTAACGTTATTCTTTAGTTTACTTTTGTCATTTCATTGAAGGTACAACATTCGTTGAAATGTTTCTTATCTAAATATGAAAATTCGAAGGAATCAGTACAAGGATCTCATGAATATTTGTATATTAAAATAATTATCATAAATTAATCGGTATTTTCAATGTTATTATGTTTTTCAATAAACTTTTAATAATCAACTACGCATATACTCCCATTTTACAAATATCTGCTGTAACAATCGATAAAATTATTACATTAATTGCCAATATTATAATGTTTAATAATGTAAAATGTTATTTAACAAATTTGCAATAGAATAGTCTCAAATTGAATACGATATATGTGCAGTTAAAATGAATAAACAATTTGATCAATTTGATTTGATTTATTTTCGGTCATCATTTGATTGAAATATTGATAGAATAACTTTTTGGACAAAAAAAAAATGATGAGAGTGAATTTTTACGATGTGCGTGCACATCGTCGACACAAAATTAACAGGATGAAATATAGAAGACACACATACATGAAATATATTAATTATTATTATTAGATTAATTAATTATACTCTTTTTTGTTTTGTTATATATACGCCAAAGAAGTATATACAATTTCTTACGTGCATACATAAGTACACACACCCGTGTTTTTTTTTTTTTTTTTATTTTTATTAATTATACCAATCTTACGCTTTTTATATTTCACATACACCTTTCGATAAGTTCCATTAAATTGTATAGATGAGAAGTTTGTATCAGTCTGCATAGCTTTATAGATCCAACACGTTTCAATGAGTTCTATCAACATGCAATATCTGTAGCTGTAATTTATATGCACTTCGTACTCGGTTTGATACAACGGAAGAAAAAATGACTTACGTTAGCGCATGCTCACATAGTATATATATATAAGCATGCAGAAGTCGAGTTCTCAACAGAATCATAATGCGAGACACGCGATGATAATAATTAAGTATCCGAGAGACCACGGGGAAACGAGAAAACTTTATCGCGAATAATTTCAAGTATAATTTCACGTAGAATTGTTGGATCGGCATGACACGATTAAAAGTAAGGAAGAAAAGAAAAGAAATTTCCTTTGCAACGTATAACAATCATTTATAAAATCTATTTACAAAATGTGTGTAAAAAGTTTATTCTAATGAAAGTTTAAGATAATTTTGAATTTCGTTGAAACACAAAAAAAAGAACAACAATATCGATACTCGAAAAAGTAACAGGATGGTAAACCTTAACATCAGTGGTTTCTGGATTGTATGGTATGCTGTAATATCGAACCCTTGGTAGGTTGTTCAATTATGTGAAGGATCCCGTTCAATGGCAGGCCATCTTGACTGCAGCTTGTTAAACAATCGATCGTTTATATTTACCTGCAGCAACATCGATCGGTCAGGTATGACCCAGTATACGACAACTCGACACTAACTGCGTGCTGTTTTGTTCGACGATGCCACGAAGGTACCTATCTAACTTGCTATTCACGCACGAACTTTGCTTCGAGCAAAGCACTTACACACGTGAAATATTGCATCGAGTTCTCGTACACTTCCTTCTTCTTATTCTTTTTCTTTTTCTTTTTCTTATTCTTTCAAGACGGAAGTATTTATTCTTTAAGTAACCAATACTTGCTTGAATAAATATTTCGATTAATTCATCATTTATATTTTTATATTCATAACATTATCACAGAAAATTGTACATTCCGAATCAGAACAAAATTTGGCATTTATATTTGATTATTATAATATTATATATATATATATATATATTATATAGATTATAAATTTATATATAATATATATTTAATAGTAAAAAATTAAGCACACATATGTTATAATCAATATAATCATTTATTATATTCGAGTTAAAAATATTATTTGTTAACCATATTGTGATTATTCTAATCGTCGAATCTATATTTTCTTTTTTTAATCGTACTATTTTCGTAACGCAGTTTGATTTTTAATTCACCGTTAGAGTAACATTCGCGACGTTTGAAGATTTGTCACATATTTGACGTTACTTCGTTTTACCGTGATATAAACGGATTGGCTGAAGAGGAAAAAAGGGATTTTCCCTCTGTGAGAGATAGGTCAACAAAACGTTACACGAGTCACGTGGCAGGGTTGTTCTCGGACGGGTGATTGAAAACGATTTAACGAGGACGCGTCCGTCTACTACAAATCGGATTTGAACGAGTATTTGTAAAGTGTCTATAACAAACCGGAGAAATTGGTTACAAATAACGAGCAACGTATAAAGGTAATTTCGTTTTATTCGACACAAAACATGTTTCTTCGATAATCGATCGGGTGTTTGTCATTTAAATGAAACATAGAGTCCCCTACCCCTACCCCCATCCCCAATCACCATACCTCCACCCCCACACCATGCACGATTGTGTTTTATCCTTTTTCGTTTTAAGGGGGTTACTTTGTAAATAACAAAAAAGTGCAATGTCAACTCCAATCGTTTATAAATGTTACTTGATTCGACGAAGTGCATGTTCTTTCTTTCTTTTTTTAATAAAAATCTAACAGAGTAACACGACGTTCTCGTTATATTTCATTTTTAAATATAATTTCATATTATTTTTGATAATTAATCTTTCTTTTTAATAGTAAAGGCAAA